AGGGGGGAGAGGAGGAGGAGGAGGAGGAGGAGGAGGAGGAGGAGGAGGAGAAGAAGGAGGAGGAGAAGGAGGAGGGAGGACCTCATGATACCCAGAAGGTGTCCCTCCTCCTCCTCCTCCTCCTCTCCTCCTCCTCCTCGTCCTCGTCCTCCTCCTCCTCCTCCTCCTCCTCCTCCTCCCTCCCCGTCCGCCTCTGCCTGTGTCTCCTCCGCAGCTTCACCCCCCCGTTGGCCGCACGCCGAGGCCCGCGCATGGAGAACGAGGAGGCAAAGTACGGTGGCGGGAGCCGAGCCGGTCTTTGAGCCAAGAAGCGGCCCTGGAGTCGCGCATGCCGCGGACCGCGTGTCGAGCTGCGCGGCAGAATATGAGGAGGAGGAGGAGGAGGAGGAGGAGGAGGAGGAGGAGGAGGAGGGGGAGGAGGAGGAGGAGGAGGGAGGGGGAGGAGGGGGAGGAGGAGGAGGGGGAGGAGGAGGAGGGGGAGGAGGAGGAGAAGGAGGAGGAGGAGGGGGTGGTGGTGGTGAAGATGACGGTGGTGATGACGGCGCTGATGCTGATGCTCGTCACCGACTCAACGCTACGGTCAAGCGCGACACGACGCCCGCGGGGCCACCTCACTCTTCCTCCTCCTCCAGCGGCAGTGGCGCGATGGCGCCGACGGCCTTCGCCTCTGCAGCAACCACGGCAACGCTGATGGCCGGTAGTTATCGCCTTGCGTGGGGTGATGATGATGATGATGATGATGATGATGATGATGATGATGATGATGATGATGATGATGATGATGATGATGATGATGATGATGATGATGATGATAATGATGGTGATGCTGATGATTATGATGATGATGTTGGTAATGGAGGTTGTGATGTCGGAGGTGATAATGCTGGTGGTGATGATGGGTGGTGGTTGCTGACAATGGCGGACATGACGAGGCGGATGATGTCGGTGGCGGTGATGATGATGGTGCGGATGATGATGCTGGTGGGTGTGTTGATAGTAATGGTAACGCTGATGACGACTATGAATCGTGGTAGTGATCATGGTGGTGGGCGAGGTGATGATGATGCTGCGGATGACGTTAGTGTGGGAACGGTAGCGATGATGATGTGTCGGATGATGGCGGCGGTTGGTGATGAGGATCAGGAGGAGATGGAGAACGTGGGAAAACGAGGGCTCTTGGAGGTTCTAGGGGTCGTGGAAAACAGTGCAGCGTAATTACGTCATTCTTGGTCTGAAGGGAAATCTGCTGGTTCTGACTGGAGGGAGCGAAACATAAAACAAGGATATAGAGGGAGACGAGAGGGACGTTGGATTAGGTCGGGCCTGTCCTCTTACAGACGGGTTTGGGGCGGAACACTAAAACTGGTCACAGCATGTATAACGATAGCCAAACACGAGCCAACAATCGTCCCCAGACTATTGTTGGACTATGTTCGAGCATTCCTCCTGTAGAGGGACATGCCCGACCTAAACGTTGGACGAGGGGGCGGACGATGTATCCAGTCACCTGGCGGTCGCCGCGGGGTGCGCGCAGGGGCGAGCACTATACATTGGAGGGGGGCGGCCCAGACCCAGACCCCCGCCGTCGCGACCTTTGTCACGACGCCGACCCCCACAGGTCACGAGCGAGAGGGGGAGAGAGGGAGGGAGAGAGAGAGAGAGAGAGAAGGAGAGAGAGGGAGAGAGGGAGAGAGGGAGAGAGAGAGAGCGAGAGAGAGGGAGAGAGAGAGAGAGAGAAGGAGGGAGAGAGACAAACAGACAGACAGACCGACAGACAAGCGTACCCACAGGCACGCAGACGGACTCTGCGCACGAAACCTGCCCGAAGGAGTCCGGAGCGGCAAAGAGGGGGGCGTCCAAGAGGGGGGGGTGCAAATCATGACCGGCGGCATGTGCGCGGCCCACGGGGGGGGGGGCTGGGGACGTAATGAATCAAGAAGAGGCGCCATGAAATCTGGGGAAACACCACGGCCCTCGCCATGATATCGACCCCCCCCTAGTCAGCACCCTCCTCTTTTCCGCCCCCGAAGGAGGGCAGGCCACCAGGAGGAGGCATGCGGATCCGCGCCGGCAGGCAGCTCGTGCGGCTGCTGGCCGCCCCCGCCCACGGGAGAGGTCCCACGCCGGGACGTCTCCCCGACGTCTCCCAGGAGGGCGAGACGTGGTCGCCACTGAACCGGCGCCCCAGCGGCGCGGCGCCCGCCCCGCGCCGCCCCTCCTCCTCCTCCTCCTCCATCTTCTTTCTTCTTACTCTTATTATTTTTATTCTTATCTTAATATTCGGCGAATTATTATCATCATTCTTATTATCATTAGTAGTATGCTTATTATTATTATGATTACTGATGTTATTATTCGCATTCGTTACATAATTCTCCTCCTCCTCCGCCTCCGCCTCCTCCTTCTCCGCCTCATCCTCCTCCGCCTCCTCCTCCTCCTCTACATCCCATTCTTCCTCCTCCTCCTCCTCCTCCTCCTTCTCCGCCTCCTCCTCCTTCTCCTCCTCCTCCTCCCTCCCCCTTCTCCTCCTCCTCCTCCCCCTCCTCCCCCTCCATTCCTGTTCTTTGTAAACAACTTCTCCCTGTCACACCACGAAACCAGATTTTAGGGCGGGTCAGGCGTTTCGCCTGAGACTTCCTCACCACTTATGACTCGGAAGCTTTGAATTTGACAACAATGTCACAAATGAAGGGCGGGTGGTTTTCAAAATGTGGCTCTCGCCTTCGCGCGGCGTTGCTAAGAAATTGCAGGCGCTTCACGGATTGAGGGCGGGTGGTTTTCAAAATGTGGCTCTCGCCTTCGCGCGGCGCACACTATTTGACAACAGCTTGCCAGAGCTTCACGGATTGAGGGCGGGTGGTTTTCAAAATGTGGCTCTCGCCTTCGCGCGGCGCACATTCGTTCTAAAAAGTTGCAACAGCTTCGGCGGTTCCTTTTCAAAAGTGGCTCTCGCATTAGCGCCGCGCACATTCGTTTACAGTATTTTCAAGAGTTTCACGGATTCCCATCATCAACGTACCAGAAACGGTGTTTTGGAGAGATTGAAGATTACGCGGGCGCAGCAGTCACATTGACTCTCTGTGTTGAACCCCTAGGAATAGCGTTCTGGCACGATTCTGGATCGTCCAGACGCAACAGTCAGGCAGATCCGTGGCGTTGGTATCCCGAGAACACTGTTTGGGCATGCTTCAGGGTCTTCAAACGGGTGTCCTCCAACGACGCAGTTCCCTCACTGGAAATGAACCGTTGCAGGGGCCTGTGAAGAGGGAGCTTGGAGGGAGGGTTTACTCCAACATAGTTGATGAACTTGGGTTTACACTGGTCCCCTTCCTCCTCCTTCTCCTCCTCCTCCTCATCCTCCTCCTCCTCCTCCTCCTCCTCCTCCTCCTCCTCCTCCTCCTACTCCTCCTCCTCCTCCCTCCCCCCCCCCGCCGCGGCGCAGCGGCAAGCCGCGCGCCGAGCGGGGCGAGCGCCGCCCCCTTCGGCCGCCCGCGGCGCCGCCCACGCCGCCCGCAAGCCTGCAAGCCGCAGCCGCCGCGTCAGCTCGCGGCGACCGCCCGCGCCGGCGCAGCGGGGCCCGGCGCGGCAGCGACCAGCGAGACCGGACCGGCAGACAGAGACAGAGATAGAGCGAAAAATAATGAGAGAGAGAGAGAGGCCCAGACCCCCTCGAGCCATGGAGAAAGCACGGCGGAAGGTGTTTCGCTAGGTTCGGCCTCTGGAAGCCCTGAACCAGGCCTCGGTACCGTCAAAAGACGACCCAGGGCAGAAAACCGGTCCTGGGGAAGGGGTCCAGACCTTTAGGGTCCACGTCATGAAATAATCATGACGTCGAGGGTCTGGGGAGAGAGAGACGGAAATGAGAAGGGCAGATATGCTAGCCCGACACTGCCCTATCGAACCCAGATGGCGGAGCCGGTGGCAACTGCAAGAAAGGAACAGACTGGAGTGATTAGATGGTCGGTGTGTGTTCTCAAGCGACAAGAGCGGCAACGACGGCGACGGCGACAACGGCGACGACGACGACGGCGGCGACGTCGGCGATGACGACGACGGCGACAACGGCGATAACGGCAACAGAGGTATGACAAAAACCGCGGGCAGTACACACAGCGCATGCAGCACGTAGAAGGTGGCGCAGACCTTCAGCGGGCTGTTTTTCCCAGCCCCTGGGCCCACGAGCTCTCTACTCCTTCCCACAAGGGCCGCTGTTCATCCCGACCGTTTTTTGTTCGTCTGATGGACCAGGAACCTCGAAGGTTCCCCTGGAGGCTGAGACCCAAGACAAGCGCGGGAACCAAACAAAATCAGGCCGCCGGAAGGCCGCGGCGGCCTAAGTGCAGAGCGAAGGAGGTGCGCCTCCAGATCAGAGGAACAGAGCACGGCACACATATATATAATATAATATATAAAGATAATAATAATACTAAGAATAACAATACTAAGAATAACAATAATAATAATAACAATAATAATAACAATAATAATAATAATCAGCATCATCATCATCATCATCATCATCATCATCATCATCATCATCATCATCATCAGCAGCATCATCATCATCATCAGCATCATCATCATGATCATCATCATAATATTATTATATAATAATAATGGTAATAATAGTAATAATAATAATAATAATACGAATAATACTAATAATAGTATCACTAATACTAATAATACAAATAAGAATAATAATACGAATAATACTAATAATAATATGAATAATACTAATAGTACTAATAATAACAACAATAATAATACTAATCATAATAATACTAATACTCATAATAATAAGAATAATAATACTAATAATAATAATCATAAAAATACTAACAATAATAATAATAATTATTATTAGTATTATTATTACTATTATAGCAGGTCCGCGCGGATGTCTTGGATCGGCGCTGGAGGCGCAGCCAGGGGGCTCCGCTCCATCGCCGATCCGAGAAATCCGCGTGGAACTCCGACAGCTCATGCCTGTGTCGCTTCCTGTTCCTCGAGGCACGCGGCCACATGTTCGCTCGACGGTCGCCGCAAGTCGCGCGCCGAAGCGGGCTCGAGCCTCACGCGTCCGGCGCTCTCGGCACCGCCCCTGCCAGCGGCGGAGCTCGGGCGCCACACTTGACGGCGCGCACAAGGGGGGTAGAGGGAAGGGGGAAGGCTTCTTAAAGGAGACTGCTTCTTAGGAGGCGCCAGCCTTACAGTAGGAGCTCGGCCCCAAGAAACCTTGCACAAGAAACCCAACCACCTGAGACCCCACGACGTTCATGGATTTGTGGTGCGGGAGCGTCACGTTTCCCATTGCAAAACCATCGAAGCCCAAGAAACCCGGGGGCCCCTGGAGCCGTGGAGGCAAGCAGGGTGCTCCTTGGCAGGGGCTCCCACAAGCCGCCGCCCCCTGGGACGCCTTCCTTCGCCCCCCCTGCCCCCCCCCACCCCCCATGCGCGTGGCCGACGCTGTGACGCACGAGATCCGCCCTGCTCCGCACTGTGGCGTCCGCGGGGGGCGCGGGGGGGAGCGGCGGAGGCGAGGACCGGGCGCCGCGCAAGCGGGGAGGGGGGCCTCCCCGTGCGTCCGTCCCACCCTCCCTCTCTCCTGGTCGCCCGCCTGTGGGGAAGCGCAATGGTACCTGATACCCACACCGCCACTCCACGGACCTCTCCTGGGGTGCGCTCCGAGCAGGAGTTCGAGGCGGATCGAGCGGTGGAGGGAGGAGGAAGAGGAGGAGGAGGGAGAGGAGGAGGCGGAGGAGGAAGAGGAGGAGGAAGAGGAGGAGGAAGGGTTCGAAAACGGGGGGAAGGAGGAGGAGGAGGAGGAACAAAAAGAAAGAGGACGGAGGGGAAGGAGGAGGAGGAGGAGGAAAAGGAGGAGGATGGATGGATGGATGAATGAATGGATGGGTGGCTGGATGGAATGCGGGGGGGCGATTGGTCTCAGTGCCGTGGCACGAACATCTAAGGGCAATGCTCTGCCTTATGTAGCGCCCCTCGCGAGGCCTTCGGCAGCGGTCGAGGGGCTAGAACTACTAACCGCAACCTTGCCCGCTAGTGTGAGAAACTCCGTGGCTTCTCGTAGAAGTGGTCATTCGGCAGGGATGCATACGCATGTTCCCGCCGCTTTATTCCTCGTAAGCCTACGCCCCCTAGCACCAACCACCTTATGGGGCAAGGGGGGGGGACGGCGCATCAGCCTGTAAGCATATTGTAACATCTGCCTAGCTCTGCTGCTACCAGCCGCTGCCATTCGCGCTAGATGCGCCAGAATGCTAGGATCGCTCGAAGCACGTTGCGAAACTATAGCTCTAGCAGGGGTAATCTGGGAGGACGAGGAGGAGGGGAATCTCAGAGGCTCGGGAGAGGAAACTAGTGCATACTGGATAGGCTGACATCGGGGACCCCTGGAATCCCTCAGAGTTCCACCTGGCTGAGCGCTCTCTCCCCCGCCTCGGGAGGATGTCGCTTGGCCTTTTGCACCCGTTTCAGGAGTCCCCTGCCTCTGCGCCTCGATAGAGGCTGACCGCCTGGCCTGCTCAAGCTCACCCCTTCCATGTTCGCGCGGAGCTGCCTCAGCACCACCCGTGCCAGTTCTGGCTTCGGCGTCTGGCCCATCAGCTTCTCCGCTCCGACCTTCTGCGTTCCCGCGGTGAATTCCACGCGGGCCACCTCGATCATGGGCGCCGCGAGCTCCTCCGCGTCGCACTGGCGTAGGTCCGCCCGCTTGTTGAAATTCACCGTGACCTCGGTCTTCTCCTGCTCTGCTGGGGCGTCCTCCTTCGCGCATGCGTCCAGGGTCCTGCAGGCTTTGAACGTCTCGCCGACTAGGTTCTGGCCATTCTCCCCGCTCGCCATCTGCACCCATTTGCACGGGGTCTCTTCGCACGATAGTCCTTTCACATGGCCCTTCATCGCCTCCGACATCGCCACCGAAACATGTGAGTGAGGCGGCCCCATGCCATGGCCCTTGCCTATCTCCATCACCGTCCTCTGGTAGTCCGCCACCGCTTTTCTTCCCCGCCTTCGCAGGGGGAGTGATCGGGCACAGCCAGAAGTATAACGTTGCCGCTGCCAGCTCGCGGCCTTGGGCGTCTTGTGATAGTGCGAGGCGCTGCAGGCTGGTGATGTCGCCCATCAACGCTCCCTCGAGCTTGCGGTCGCCTCCTTTTCCTTTCGGCCCCTTGCCCGTCGTTGACTCTCGTTGTCCTCGTGCTGCCGATCCCGCGCTCCGCCCTGGGGCCCCCCGCGCCGCTCTCGGCGCCTCCGCTCTTGGATGCACGAGAGGCCTTGGGGCCGATGTGGCGCGCTGCTGCGCGGGTCTGGAAATCGCCGGGATCTCGAGCAATCTTGCTGCAGAGCGCAGTTGACGTTGTCGGGGGTAGGCAACTCGCGCTCCCATCATCCATCGTTTATGCACCACGTCTTGCTTGCGCCTTCAGTTCGCAGACATCTCCGCCAATCGTCGCCAAAAATCTAAGATCATCTTGGGCCTGA